CTCAGTAAGGTGTTACATTANTTTGTATATTTTAGAGGTGTTACGTTATTTCAAGAAATATAACATTTACACCACAAAAAACTCTGACCTACATAAGTATGACACGAGAAAGAAAGAAGACCTTCATGTGCAAAGTTATAATACCTTAACATATGAGAAGAGTGTTACAAATATGGCTATTAAACTTTATAATAGACTGCCTTTGGAACTAAGAATGGTAAAAGCAGATAGAGAATTCCTACATAGACTCAAAAGATATTCACTGAAACACCCATTGTATAATTTGCATTAGTTCCTCTCAGAAGGACAGTTAAACAAATAAGATTCTCATTGATAAATAGATTTAAGTGTAAATAAAATGACTAGTAATTAGGTGAAGTTTTTTAATATGATTTAGGCTATAAAGGGAATGGAAGTCTTAAAAGAGATTGCACTCCAAATTATTTAATCATTATCTAAATTGAATTGTATTTTTGTGGATTATTTTGATATAATAGGTTTTAAGTTTAAGAATATGATGGTGGTAATTAAGATATATATAGTAATATGACCTTGTTTTTTATAATGGAAGGTAGTTGTAAATTTGATTGTACCTAATATATTTTAATTATATCGAGAGAGTGATTTTAATTGTAATTGAATGTTATGTTATGTGATATATGACGATGTTCAATTGATTGGGCAGGAGGCCAATTATACTGGATAAGCTGTATATGTATGTGACTTGTTCGAGAGTTACAATTTGTAACTGTGATGAATGTTAAATAAAATTATTATTATTATTACTTTTATTGTTATTAATATTACACAGTGCTGGTGACTACACTGAAGGACAGTAAAACTTCGAAACATGCATCTATTTTGTATCTGTTCTAAATAAATAGTTGCCACTATTAAAGTTCCAACACTCATTATCTTGGACATGCACTGTGTAAAATATAGTTCACAAACTAAATATTTATAGCATATGAAACGCATGCAAATGGGAAAAATAATAGCAAGATTAATCGTTGTTCCAACAAGATAGTCAACTGTAAAATTTCCCCATCATAACTCATGGCTGGATGTTTGTGGTGAATAATAACTTATTTCCTAAACAGAAACTGTATCCATGATGGTCATATGAACTTATTATCTTATTATCCAGTTGATAAGATTGTATATTTGTAAAGGAAGAAGGGAATAGGACACGTAACGTGACTGTTTATTAATGTAACCAGTGTAAATAACATAACCACAGAATGTGTGAACATTTGTTCTGTGAAATGAAACCCAAGAACACCATATGAAAGACAAGGAAACTTATGGGGCACAAATGACATTCAGTAACATTTTAAAGTTTTATATATCCAGAGTAGAAACACTACAAAAGAATTATAGTGATAAATGTACAGGTATATTTTAATTAAATGTAATTGATAGCATGTTAATAATCAAGTTATGCTCATTACTCTAGTTCCCATGTAAAAGAAAGTGGTAATATATATTATATATATATATATCTTACAGTAGGAATTGTTGCCAGATGTAAAACATATAAGGAGACTACTTGAGAGCCTGTTGCAAATCTTTAGGCTGGTTTGGTGAGGAGAACATATAGTGCTTGTGTCAAAAATTTCCCTGCATATCCAGATCTGTAGTGCAGTCTACAAGCTTACAGGCCAACAAATAGTCGACTCAGCCAGATCACAGCAAATGTTGGGAATGGTCCCTGTTGCTATGCACATATTCTTTGCACACCCAAGAAATGCCCACATTCATGTGTTGAACTTTCTTCTTGGAAACAGAACAATCTTCAAACTTGCAATTAGAAATCTTAAACCTTGCTCTCCTGTGCAAAACATGTAATGGATTTTTAAAGTTGATGCTCAGGCCTAGCATCAATTCTATCCAATATCTCCACATTCAGCATTCAGTGTTTTGTTTTGGTTCTTTTTTGTCCAATAACAACCCTGTCTGTGTAAATTTATTTACAACTGTATGAGTAGTTTTTAAATGTGGAACTGCAACATCTGAAAATTGTGCCAGAATCTTCTCCAGATTTTTCACATGGGTATCATACTTGAAGACTTGTTTCACTCTGTAACTCTTATGTGGCATTTTTACACAACTGAGTGAATATTTAATACAGTGGCAAAGGATTTGGATTATGGTTGGCAGGCATCTAATGCATAAGCACACTTCTTAGTAGCTGTTCCAAAGTTGACTGGGGCTCTACTGCAGAGCATGCATCCCTCTTACCCGAACAGGCAGAAGACTGTGGCAGACTCTCAAATAACCTCCCTATATTTTTTGTCCAAAAGTATGGGCAAAATGCAAGTACACTAGCAATACTGAGTCTGAGCTATTGTCCTATCAAAGCTACCATTTTATGGCACTGGTGTATATAATTCTAGACCTGTTTTATTCATAAACAATTAGCATGCAATGCACAACACTTCCGACCACTTCAATTCTAATACACTTAACATTTTTTACATTGCTTACTTCAAACAGTAAGATTAGTACAGTTTAAAAATGCTTGGTATATATTAATATAGTCATCAGTTTCAATGATAAGAAATGCATGGATTTCCTTACAGCATTTTGCAAACAATCTGCTAGGTACTTCTCTAAAAATAGAGAACAATGTGAACACAGCATAAGAGTCCAGCTGTCATTAACTGATCAGCATTTTTCAGTGATCTGTTTTCATTTTAATAGACCAAATGACTGCCACTTTTTGTCATTATTATTTATTTTCTCAAAACTAATTGCAGCACCAGTGTGTATATTATAACAAACATCAATTGCAGACATCTAACGAAGTAGAAAGATTATAATATTACATACAAATGTTCCCTATGCTGTATAAAACATAACCAACAATACGTACAGTTAACACCATAAGTATACTGTATAACACAATTTATATAACATGTTTCTAAATTATACCAATAGTTCGCTTGCGGACTAAAATCACGGAGTTTGTTTGTTTTTGTTTCTAAATTATTCAGTTATGCTGGTTACTAACTATTTTTAAATATTACAAAAATGGAGACAAAACGTAGTGGTATATTATACATATAACAAAATTATAACAACAAAAGGAAATTAATTCACCCTCAAACAACTAACAATAATTTTACCTTAAAACTTACAAAAAATTACTGCTTAATTATGTTCAACTATTAACATATAAAAAAGGTCCTCTTTGGATTATATGTGGTACATCTTCTATTCAAGTTGCACAGCACTAATAATCTAATTTGCACACAGCTGGACTAGATCAACATTATAACAATATGCAATGTTTTAGTTTTAGAATTGTTCACATATATTTTGTAAAAAGTAATTTAACAAGGAAGTGGAAAAAAAATGTAATGTATGTACACATTTTAACTCTCAAGCATGCAGACAGAGTTTCTTATTAGGTTTTTGGTATTGTAATAATATGCAGTAATAGATTATATTATATGATTGTATCTACATTTTGTCAAGACTTTGTTTTATTACATAAATATTACAACAGTTTTTATAACAAATCAGTCACATTCTAGAATCTAACAAACTTCTTAACATTCTGTTTTGGTGGCCCAGAATCATTGCTCCCTTGTACTACAGTCTACAATCTGCAGGCCCTTTATAAGGCTACATGCTGTGCAATATAACACAGAATTAGAACTTGACTACTATATATTGTCAGTCATTCTTGTGTGCAGTCTCATATTGAAGTGTTCTAAAGTAGTTCTAATTCAAATACATTCATGTATCAATTTCAAGAGATACTGGCATGTTAACAAAGTTATACTAACAATGTCACTATTTGCACATGTACAGCATTAAATCAAATGTACATGTGTACGTCAACATATTTCAATCATTTATTAGGAAAAAAGTACATTTTACAAGAGACCTACATGGACATCATCTCTTCCCATGGATAGTAAAAAATGGCTCTGATTATCCAGGATTATTTTCTAGTTTAATTTAACAAAAATACAGTCAGCATTTAATAATACTGGGTAACTTAGAGAGATCTAGTGTAATACATACACTACAGAAAGAATACAAACGTTAACGAGTTCTCAGAATATGCGTAGATTGAACAGCTCATAAATGATCAACACTTGTTACTCACATACATGGAAGAAAGAAAATGGAAGAATTGGAAGTTGAGCCAATAAGCCTTCACAAGTTCCCTAAATATGATGTTCTAATCCACTGCATACTTTTTAAAGGTAAAAAGATCCTTCTGTGCCACATATTCCTGGATCTCAAAAAATGACATTAATTTGGCCCAAGAAAACCGTGCAGCTTGCGTGTCTTAAATGGTTCTTCTTTAAGCAGTTTATTATAGATGTTCTGTTTAGTTCTTGTTATTACCATGACTTGGTTTTTCTCTTCATTTAGAAAACCTGTATAATTTATATGCTGAATCACCAGAAACTGTACAATGCCACAGTTCTTAGTCAAGGCATCATGGATAATTTCATTTAGTTTTGTATCAGTATGACAAAAAAAAATTCTACAGTTCAGTTTAATGAGTAAATTAACAATTTTTGTTTCATATTTTGAAATTATATTCTTATAACCAATGTTGAACACGTTTACTGCAATCATACTTTTAATCCTGATAACTTTTAACAGAAGTCCATTTTTAACCAGTTAAGTGTAACATTCCATGTTTCTATCTCTCCAGCAGTGGGGCATTAAGATTGCCTGGTATTAAATTTATTACTGCGGCGTTTGTGAGCCAATTGTCTAGAAGATGTGGGAGCCTTGACCTCTCACACCCTATGGGCCTACAGGGCCAGATTTACATTTTTTTACCTTTACTGCAGCATTTAATTTTATAATTGTTTTCCCTATTTTAAAATTCAACATCTCAACCATGTGTGATTATAAATTCATTCATCAGTAATCTGTCAGACGACAGGTCCACAGTCTCTTCCAAAACAGTTCCTCCACTTAATGCGATCTAGAGCTGTGATTATAAAATTATGAAAAAAAATCTCTGATCAATTATCAAAGGTCATGTATTTATATTTTCATTTATGTGGCCATTACATTAAAGTTTATATATATTTTTTAGTAACATTCCATATGTTTTGCTTTATTCTCAGAAAGTGCACCACTGTTTCCACTGACATGCAATTCAGCACTCAATACGTGCTCATAAAGGTATGTCTGATTCATGCACATTCACTATATGCAGTCCTGACAGGCATTTGGTGTTTAAAAATTAAACATGATCATAGAAACTGAGAAAACTACCTCCAGCCTAAACACACATGGCTTGCATGTTTGATTATTGTGACATTTTACTATGACCTACCACAGCTCTGGCTGCCTAATTTAAATTAGATGTTTGTTATTGTCGTGTGGGCAGAATCTGGGCCTCATTCACAAGTTCACACCTTCTGTGGATGAATGAATTGTGCAACAGTGTTCTTCCAAACATCAAATTAAAAAGCATTATCTTATACAGACTATGAAATCACTACCTGAATCATTGTTGCAACTTCATACTCTGAAGGTCTTTATAATTATGGTGTATTTTTCAAAACCAGCCCATAGTACACTTTCTGATCATTAAAATCTTATCTTCAGATACTTCTTAGCCACTTGCTGAACCTTGATCCCCTTTCATGCCTCTATAAGTCAACCGCTATTTGATAAAGTTGGAAACAGTGCAGCACACAGGGCCACCCTACAGTTTTTGCAGTTGTACCTTATTTCATGATGCTGACTCTTTTTATAGCAAATAACACAACATCAACACAGATTTTGCTTTCACGCTGTGACAGCAATGTAGGAGGGATAATTAGAAGCATTCATTCTTGTTGGTAGGGTAGTTTCTGGTGGTCTGCCTAATGGTCTCTCTTCTTTTATACAATTTTTTTAAATTAAATTTTCTATAAGTTCCACTGGAAATTCCATCCTGGAAATGCTGCCACTTTTTTTTTTTTTGATGAGGTAAATATAAATTCAAACAACAAATATCAATCAAATGATGGAAGTGCTTTTGATAGCAATTTGTTAGTCTTTCCTTGTGTTGTGATAGCTTGTCAAGTAAGAATCACTGAGGTCCACACCTCCCAACCTGGAATGATAATCAATGACTAGTCTGAGCTTCTCTATGTCTTGCCCTTGAACCCTAGTTGGAAACATTTTATCATGAGTGGTACTTATAAGACAATTTTTTTTTTGTTTCCCACTTCATTATCATTAGTCTGTCTTTATATATCGAAATATGTTCTCCCTTTTTCAGTTTTATGGTCTTTATTACAGCAGAAACACCCTTGCTGTGTTGATGCAAGGTTCCGATAGTGCTGCTCTGTTTGCCGCACAGCTTATGGAACAGATCTGGGCTTGAATACCAGTAGTCCATGATTACACATTATCCCTGATTCAGTAGAGGAGCCATTAGGTGTACAATTACTTTTGAGCTATATGGCTCACATTTTAGGGACTCGTTGCAAACGGCATCTTGCCCAAGGTACGCAGTAAAATTCCATATACAGCCAGCTTCAGCTTCACACAATTCAAATGATTTTATCCCAAATTTAGCATGACAAACATTCCTACCACATAATCAAAGACTCATCTACTGACACATCACACTTTTGGGTATATACACTCCTAAATTTGGCATTTAGGTGATCCAGTATGGGTTTGAGTTTATACAATCTTTTGGAACCATAAGTGGCATCATTATTAACTTTCATTGTACCTCCTCTCACTGAACAAGTCCAAAAATATGGGTGTTCCCAGAATTTTTCTCCAGCAAAACAGCTCATTATCTGATTTCTGGTCCTTGTGACAGAAATAATGCCAGCATTTCATTATTTAATTTCTGTCCATCTCCTTCTAGAGATAGGTCCTACACCTTAGTTTTAGATTAGGTGTGTTTTCCAAAAGTTTTGGGCACACAAATTTGCTCTTGGCTACTACTTCCACAAGCTCTGGTGTACAAAACAACTCAAATATTTCATGGGGTTACTGGCATCTTCTAAATCAACATTTATGCCAAGCATGCCAGTAAAATGGAAAACATGGTTGCTGAGCACCTGACTTTGCCCATATGTCATGCCACATGCTACTGTTGTTACTGACATTTCCTTTTTCATCAGAACTGACACTCAGTTCACCACATGATGACATTTTCCCATTTATTTCACTGTCACTACTATATTTGCTCTCAGAAATATCACTATATTAATTCTCTTGCAACAGTTCATATAACACCTCTTCATCACTCACATGCATCTTCTTACTTCGACCTGCCGTAATGTTTACTTATAAAAACTTGAACCCAGAGCAGCTATCAAGCAGTCAGCACCTCCCTGTCACACTCTGAAGTATCCAGAAGATCTAAGAAGCACACTGCACAAATTTTCAGTGCTGACTGTCATTATATCTACAATGATGCAGTTGGAAACATGCGTGAAGTGTACAGTTGTCATACCCACTACAATGCAGACTAACACATGATGTGTTAAGGTTTCATACCCACTTAACTGGTTAATTTTACCTCACTGACAACAGAAATGCTTACTCAAACCTTTAATAATTTAGAAAAATCACAGCTCGGAGGACTTAAAATTGAGTCGTGGTAGTTATTCACTCCAAACTCAACAGCCTACATAGAAATTTAAGCTCTCAAGAAAATTTTGTGTTAATTTCTTTGTAATGTGAAATTTTTCTGGCTGATCACTACATGCTTATCACTGCTACTATCCAATATGTACATGCTTTAAATTTGAGAACATCAGATTTAAATAACAGTTTCCTGAACATTCTACAGAACTTCTTGCAGTCTTTACAGTTCTTTCATGATTTTATATCTAATGTAGGGAGCTCCACAACATTAAAGAACTGGAAACAACCCAATGAAAGCCTAAATTGTATTCCTGAGAAGTGAACACAATTTTTGGTTGAATGGAAGAAAATCTGATATAAGCAGCTGTAAAGTATAAAAGAAAGCTCTTCCTAAATTTAAACAAGTCACTTAAATCACTATCTCACACCTTCACTCAAACTTCTGATGTTTCATAAATAGCAAAAATAATTGTCTCCAATTCAGACACACATTTGCAAGTCTTTCAGGCTTCTTGAACAGTACAAGTGCACTTTGAAAACTGTGAATATTCACATGTCACTGAAATTACCAAAATCAGCACATTCCACATGTCAGTTAATGGCTTCATTCTGCCAACTAGCAGTGGGTATACCAGTTATGTGGCCAAAGCATTGAATTACTGCAAACTTCAGATAGTTTAAATGTCAGTTCAAGCATTATGGTTTCACAAATGATATGCAATTAGCAGAAAGTATGTCCAATACGTTGTATTTGTTTAGTTTTAAAGAACTAATCGTGTTAAGTAGACTCTTGAGCATGACTAAACTTCATTAATAGTGGTGATTGGGACAGACATGATGAATGCCCTTCTAGCATGGGAAGTTCTACACCAATCAGACAGAACAGTCATCACTATCAGCTGCATAGTCATCATCATCAGAATCGAAGTCTGTAACTGTGAAGGCAGGTTTCTTCCATTTTCCACTATTACCAACACTGCCAGAACCTCCACACATCAAATTAACTGGTGATCCATCATTATGCTTTACATGACTGGTCACAAGCTGGTCAAGATTTGGTGACAGGACATCTACCTCTTCATTGTCATCATCATAGAGGCTGAAACAAGATGAAAATCAATGTGATATAATTTGAAGAAACAGAAACACAACGCTTCCAACTGAAGTTTGAAAACTTAGTTGGTATAATCAGCAGAGGCAGTGTGTAGCAATTTCAGTCAGAGATTTTACATTAGAAAATGAAAATGTAAAAATACATGCTTAAAATGTAATAAAGAGAGAACAAATATTTTACATCACATTTGTGTGTGTGTGTGTGTGTCCATAATACTACAGAAAATAATACTAATTTTTTAAATTTTAAGACATCATACAAATTCTAATTCAGTACCTATCTTGAATTCTGAAGTGTTCACAGGGGTACAGATTTTGTCTCGGTATCACCATCTTCAAATGTAATCTTATATTTCACAAACACAATCAAGAGCAGCTTAATTTTTAATCTCCATTTTGAAGTACTTAATACGCCCCTTCATTAATCAGTTATTTCTTAATTAAATTACTTGCTTTTATCATTTAGTCTGTTGACAAAGTAGTTTCCATAATAATAATCATCAGAAGAAACTTACATGAGACAATGAGAGAGTTGGCTTTAATGTTCATTTACAGGTGATTCATACCTGTTGTTTAGGCTAATAAACATCAAAGATATTATTATTACACTGCTTAGATGTATAAATTATTTTTCCTCATATTTTGTTAAATATACACTGGACAGGAAATGGTTAAAAATGTCATAGATCTTAATGAGGCCTACAGTTTGTGTCATGTACTAATTTTTTTGTGCAGTAATCTACTTTTGAGAAATTTGAGACAGTTTGACTTGAGACTCACAAAATATGGGTTATAGAGTAGTAGTATACACCAAAAGCAAATAAACCACACTACCCCTATAACACTTCATCAGAATTCATTACCATATGTGGTTTTGGGATTAAATCATGTTTCAATACTCGATTCTACCAGACTCAGCTGACAACCAAGGAAGTTCTCTCACAAGCTTCTTCCATATATACGAGTATTACTCTCAAAATAAAGCCAACATATTTACTTCAGTAGAATTAAAAGCAGCAGTCTCTAACTTCTGAGACACTAAACATGCTACCAAAAGCACCTTCAGATAGAACAGTTGAAAGCTTTCGGTATAAAAAAATCTGATGATTTTTAATCCTACTGATACTGATTTGGATCAGATCCTAAGGTTTGAAACTGCTTTAGTTATTTAAAATACTTAGCATAACTTCATGAAGACAATCCTATTTCAGTGTTTATTAAACACACTAAAACCAAGAGTCTCGTTACATTAAGTTCAACAGAATTAAATCTGGTTGAATAGAAGAATATACATCTGTGTGTGTGTGTGTGTGTGTGTGTGTCTGTCTGTCTGTAACACACAACAGGACACAACCAATGAAGATAGAAAAACATATGTTTGTTTGATAATGAAATCCTGTTTACTATGTACCAGAAATGTGTTCTAAAGTCTGAGAATATTCTTTGCCTAAATGTCAACATTTCTCATTCAATGACAAAACAATGTTTCAATAAACACACTGATATAATGATTTATGTATAAATTGAAATATAAATACACACAGAACAATAAACAAATGCAATGCTAATGTTGCTGTCATCATAATACAACTTACAGAATTATTCTAAACAAAAAGGAAAATATGTAGAGGTTTGTCTTATGCACAGACATTCCATACTAAATTGTTAGACAAAACAAACTGCCATAAAATGCACAAAATAAAACTTAAAATAAAGGAAACATCTTTAAATCCACCAGAGAGAGTAAAGAGAAACTTCTAATTCTTTTGTAAAGAACAATTACTGACTTCTGAACTGATGCACCTCCTGAAATGTGGGTTCCCAAAATATATGTTACTCTGAAGGTTCCCAAAATATGGCGAATGCTTCACTATCTACATTTCAAGTTATCCATCAACTGTCTTCTATTAATACAAAGCACAAGCTAGAGCCATAATATTTTGTAATCTTAACATTTCTGGATAAGTTTAAATATGGGTAAATTTGGACAACAGGTACAATTCTGAAACATTTTTAAGTTCTAAATGTTACAAAACCCGTGATCATACACATATATTCAGCACTGTCTACAGAACATTTAGAATTAAAAAAAAAAAGGACTAACTATGGCATTTCTGGATTACAGTAATGGAAAAGTTTCTTACTCACATCCATTTTAGTCTGAATTATGTGTACACACATAGTTTGACAGTCTCATAAAGTATATTGTACTGTGGGAACATCCCACATTATCACGCATTTCCTGCAACGCACACTTTCCACATCACTTTTCACCATCACGCGCGCTAACCAATCAAATTGCTTCAAACGTTCGCATTTATACTGCACTCGCTGCTAGCCCCGCATCTACATCATCATGCGTGCTAGCCAATCAGCGCCCTGCAAATTCTTTCTCCTCAATTTCAAGCTTCGCTCCGCCCACCGAGCAGTGTATAAAAAGGAGCAGCCGCAAACCGGCAGCATCAGTCTGACTTCAGTCTATGATCAAGCCACACTCAAGCGACATCAGCCAGCAGGCTTCATCGCCAGCGCTCGGTCTTTGGAGGCATCGGCAGGCTGTGCCAGGCACGACTGCCTCAGCCCTCCAGCTCTCACACCCGACGCACTGGGGCACCTCTCCTGGACTCGCCAATGGTCGTGTCCCTGTCCAACCCACTGGGCATCTGGCGTAGCCACTGCCTCATCACTCCTGCGACCGCGCTGCGTGACCACGCAACTTCAACTCACCTGCCACACGGCGATCAAGCAACCTCCAGCAACGGCCACGCTGTGGCCAGTCAAATCACCACAACTAACCTCTCTCCCTACCGGCGCGCGCCGCACTACCTCACCTATCAAACATCTCAGCAACCACGGTCCTTTTCAGGACCAACAAACTGTTCCGAAGAAGTGGGTTGTCATCGGAGTAATGACGAACAACAAAGGCAAAACCCCACAGTACTTTGTGTTTGTGAAATTCATCCATCCTTCAAAAATTACACATTCTCTAACATTTCTCACAACAAAACTGTCACATAAATAACAGTGACTAATTACAGAACATTTCCTTTTTAAGTTTGGTGGGCGCATTTCCTATGTAATGTCTCCAAAGAATTGATATTGTGGCACAAGGGCTCAAAGCCAGAATTCTAGAGTGAGAAGAAACATCCACTGCTTGGTTACGGCATGATAAACAAGTGATGACACTATTAAACAAGCATTCTTTGCTATCAATGGTCAATACCCATCACATGATCCCAGCAGCAGTTACACACAGGCTTCCAGTTAGCCTAAACACTGATACTGTAGCCGCTGCAGTGCAACAGATAATGATAGAGCTCAGTGAATCTGTGTCAGAAAAAGACAGAATAACGGTCATTACAAAAATGGTGAGTAAAGTAAAGTTGTCCCTGTGCTTAACTAATTAAACACTATGCCATGAAAGCATATGGGGGAGTGAATATATAGATCCACATTTTCTTGACCTCGGCATTAGCCGGAGGTGAGTGGTCAGCTTCACATGCCAGGTGCCTTAACCCCAGGGGAAGAGCCCCTGGTACCCATGTAATAGGAGGGTTGGTGAACCCCAGAGCCAGTCTGAAAGATGTGGAGAAGAGAAAATTCTTGACCATAATGGGACTTGAAATCCAACCCCTCGGTCATCCAGCCTTTAGCCAGTCACTATACCGACTATGCTATCCCAGCTCTCCCATTACAAAAATGGTACTGAATTTAAGAAACGAAATGGCTGCTAGTGTTCATAGGCCTTAAAAAATTCATAGCATTTAATGCAATTGGCATATGGAGGCAGAGCTGTGAGCTAGGTAAACAGCTGCAAGACTTACATATAGATGTGGTTCTGCTCTCAGAGACACATCTTCAAACCTTATGAGAGGTTCTTTATTCCAAATTATCATTTTATCGAACTGACCACTTCCCAGAGAGAAAAGGTGAAACTGCTGCTGCAGTAAGAAAAGGCATTCCCCACAACCATGTAGACCTGCCTCTGCTTGTTTGAATAGAAGTCACAAGGGTTTGCATAAACTGGTAATAGTAAAGTGCAGTCTCTAAGTCACAGGGCCATGCCTGGAATGATGCAGATATCACTGAGCTCATAAACTTTAGACATAACTTGCTACTGGCAGGAGATCTGAATGCTAAACATCCATTTTGGAATAGCATACTTTCCAACCTTTCTAGGTGCAAAATGACTGAATTTACTCCATATAAATAAGTTTGAAATTTCAGCACTACAATGTCCCACTCATTACTCTCCTGCAGGAAATGGTGATGTGTTTGATATTATTTGCACAAGAATGTCTGGCTGTCAGAAGTCATGGTCTCTGACATTCTGGACTCAGAACACCCTTTCCAATCATTTTCCACTTGCTGGATAATACTGGAACTAGGTAGCTTTTGAACACAGTTGACAAATTCACAGACTGTGAGTGGTTTCAAAGCCTGGCCTCTGAAATAATTTCACCTAGAATCCAGTTGAACTTGGCAGAAGCTGATAAAGCAGCCAGTCACTTTACTGCCATTATAGCTTTGGTGTACAGGCCAGCAACAAGCAGAGTTACACTCTCAAACCTTAATAAAGATCTCTCTGCTGTGGAGAGTCTGCTAAAATATATGTGGAAGTTAAGGAAAATGTGGCAAGTAACCTGGGACCGAGCATGTAAAACAGCAGTTAATTGAATCTCCAAAACCATCAGATGGATGACCTGTAGAAAGGCGCTAGAAGGTGGGAAACAAAAGTAGGGAACTATGAGGTCACACCTCAAGCCCTTTCACCTAGTGCAAAATCACTTCTGAAAAGGTATGGTCCAAAGGTGTCATCCAAATGAGAAAGCCGTGATTGTGAATTGTTCAGAAAACCAGTTCACATCTTATGACCTGTGAGATAATAATCATGAGCAACAGATGGAGAGTGGAGTCCAAGCTCTGCTTGGATCTGCAAGTGACACCCTGTTGGGAAAAGTAAGACCATGTGATATAAATAAATTA